TTGTTCCTGCAGGAGATACCAATGGCTTTTGCGTTTGCTGTCAACAAATGATTTTTGTACAGTCTACATTTTTAAACATTAAATGAAAAGGTAAATGTGTTGGGATCCTTTGTTGTTGCTTGTTGGTGGTAATACTCAGCTTTTTAGTAAATGTTTTTTGGTAATCACGTACAGCAGTGTGATCTGTAGCTGATTTTCCTGTGAAGGACAGCTTTCCCGGGTTGCTTGCTTAAGATTACTCATCACAGCTAAATGGATGACTGTAGAATGACCCTTTAACTTGGGTAAATAAAAAAAAAAGTAGCAAAAGTGGAGACTTGTGATGGAAGCCTGCTCCAAATGTTACTGACTTTCTGAATATTAATAGTGCTTAAGAGTATTTTGTACTTTTGCCATCTGTATTGATAAAAAAAATACATAGTATCCGTGGTAGTTTCTGTTAACGTTTGTAAGTTTCAAGTGTTCTTGTTCATTTCAACTAAAGAAATCTCACGCATACAGCAGAAAAGTCTGTGAAAATCATCACAGAATATGTCAGCAGAGATTGTTCTTGTTCGGAACCATCCGAGGCTGGTGCCGTGGATGGCCAAGGCTGTCGGATTCCTAAACAGGTAATTTGGCCCTCCTGGGCGCTGGCCGCTCTGCCACCGCCCGGCGCTCGCGGTGCCGGGGCGCGGCCGCAGCCTCTGATAAGTGAGTACCTGTGTGCGCCTCTCCGCAGCAGCCGTGCAGGGCAAGGACAGTGGTAATATGAAACCAGTCTCGTTGGTTTTTGTTCGTGGCCCTGGAGGCTGAAATCTGCATTCCAGATGAAACCTCCAGCAAATCCGAAGAGAGTCTCTTTTTCTTCTACTTTGCTCTGCTTCAAGGGCGCTCACCCGAGTTGGCTCTGCCCGGACGGGCGCTGGGGGCTCTCCAAGGGCTTCAGGAGGGGGCACAGGAAGCTTCAGAGTCGTTAGCTCGGGTTTCCATTTGACATTTTTCGGTGATTATGGATTTACAAAAGAAGTTCTTTATCCTAGTGGAGAGACTATACAAAGGAATCCGTCAGGAATTTTCTACTGAAAACCACCCAGCGCTGGCGCACCGGGACAAGGAAGTAGGGAGCAGCCGCGGCGCGCTCGGCCCGGCGGGACGGCGGCTGTAGCTGCCGGGCGCTGCGGGCTCGGCCGGGCTGCGGAGCCCCTGGGGGACCACCGGCCGAGGTTAGTGCTGTGACAAGCCCCTCTTGTGCGAGGGAACAAGTTGCAGCCGCTGCCGAGAACTGTTTTTTACGGCGGGCCGTTTTGCGTCCCTCGGCGGAGCGGAGCCCCGACGGCCGGGGCGGAAGAGCGGCGGCGGCCCGGTGCAGCGCGGGAGGCCGGCGGGGCGAGCCGGGCCCGGCCGGGCCGCCTGTTCAGCGCCGGCAGCCGGCCCGCCCGCAGCCTGGATGTGCGCTGAGAGCGTCGGCTCAGCACTCTGCCGCGCTGCTGCCAGCGAGCCTGCTCTCTACTGCACGCAACATGGAAGAGCGTAGTGGGATGCCTGACTGTAGCCAGCTCTTAGACCTGAAGAGCACAGCAGAAAGCGACCCTGACCCACTCACTACATTGTCTGTGAAAACACTGTTTGGATTTACAACTGAGTTTGAATCTGCAGCTCCCAAAGAAGAAACAGTGCTTAAAGCACTTCAGCCTTTGCCCAGCAATATAAGTACTCACGCTAACACCTGGCACGAGAGGAATGATAATGGATGTAATGAGGACTCAGAAAATCAGCACAGCGTGGATAGTACCAGTGGCCAAGCTGACCCAATGTCTGGCAGGCAAGCAGGCCTGGAGCTGGAGTTAGCTGACCAAAATGAATTACTTCTTCAGCATTTGAGGTTTGTTCAGCCTTCTTTGTCTGAATCTGACAATGATGACAGGGATGCTATTCTTGTGCAAGGTACTTTGGTTCATACAACAAGTGACACAGAGTCGGACACGGAGAATAAGGACCTAGACACCAGTGAGAACAATGGAAGCAAATCTGGGATAAAAGATGCTGCTTTGTCTGCTGAGGCCTTGGACAATAACAATCAAAATAAAGAAGAGTCAGAATCAGAAGGGTACAGCAACAGTGATGACACTGTGGATACAGATGACATTGAGTTACACCCACCATTCTCTAAGCAGCTCCTAAGAGAGCCGGACGGTATTCTACAGTATGACTCCAATGGAAAAGACAAAATGTTAATGGATGAGCAATTCACTCATTTGCTTGCTACAGGGGAATGTCCTCAAGAACTTTCAGATGAAGAACAAAGACCTTCCGTTGATAATGTATCATTCCAAAAAGCAGCACTGGCTGAAAAGACTTTTCAGCTGCCTGCTTTCTTCAGTGGACTACGTGTCAGGAAAAAGGGACTAGCCACAGAAGATGGGGAAACTGTTACAGAAATTAAACCAAGGGAGAATGATTTAGCTCTGCTTAAATTACGACAGCCTGTTAAGAAATCCAGTATTGCATCAGGTTTGACCATTAAAAAAAAATCATCTGAACCTAAAGCAAATCCCACTTTCCTAGAACAACTCTCACACTTGTTAAACATAGACGTCTCCAAGAATGAAGATAGAACTGAGGACTCTGGTGAGGGATCTGGGGAGACTGAGGACAGTGATGAAGCTCAAGAGAACAAAGCCTCCAGCAAAAGAGAACCACGATTTCCCTCTGAGGAGATAAAATCAAACCCTGCTGAATCTGCACTGGATGCCTTTAAAGCCTTATTCACGAGACCTCCCAAGAAAGAAACAACTGCAGATACTTCAGAGCTGGAAGCCCTAAAACGCAAAATGAGAAATGAAAAAGAGTCCTTGAAAGCTGTATTTGAAAGGTCAAAATCAAAACCTGGGGATGGACCATCAGACAAATCTGTAGGTTGAATTACTTTTTCTTCCTAAGATCTGGAAGTAGAAGGATTAAAAAAAAAAATTATTTTTTAAATAGTGTTGGTGGGGACTTATGATAAAAATGTCATAATTGCTCCTCTTCTGGAAATCTCAAATTTTGGATTCCCAGCTGAGGAAATCTTGGGGCTAATTTGTCAGAATTTTTGATCATCTGCAGTTGAAGCAGAATTCAGTCCTAACTGATGGCGACAGTAAAAGCCTCTCAATTAGAAGTGAGAACTTAACAAAATTATCAATTTCTGATAATAAAAGATCTCTACATAACAGTTCTCCTTATGTTAATTATGGCTTTAAGTCTATTTGATGCTGCAGATATTTAATATTTACTGTAATATTGTTTAACAGTTTCTCAATCTCACTCTGTTCTCTCTCATTGAGTATTTTATTTTTAAAAGTAGTATTTCATTTTACCTGTAGGAGTAATTTTATGATAGGAGTTGTTACAAGAAGTTGTGCGTGATTTTCAACTTGGTTTGTTCAAGACATAGAACAGGAAGTATTTTTTTTCTTGTTTACATGCAAATATCTGGCTTTTCAAATATTGATAAGCATTGAACCTTGTCCAGGTGAATCTTAGTGATTTCAATTAGACAACTCAAGTTTTTGATTAATATAAGTGTTTGCAAGGTTAATGCTCTTAGGCATATGGAGGTGTAGTTAGTATATTAAAAAAAACCAATAACAATGCAAAGTTTTCATACAATCGTAAGTGACTTTGAATGTGATTTGAGCTCTTTAATTAAATGAGTAACCTTTGGGTTGGCATTCCCCCAACCCAAAATTCATACAGCCACATCTTTGGCAGATGTAATCAGCCCAGGAGACCATTGTTGGCTCAAGGGGGAATTACCTGAAGAATTCCATTTACAGGATTGGACCTTAAACCTGAAGCTACTTAATTTTCTGTGTTGGTTATACTCTCTTTAAAATTTTTATTCTTACATAATATTAAAAAAACATGTAAAAAATCCTGGTCAACACTTGGGTAGACTGATAATACCAGTTTGTAGTAAATTACCTATGGGGAGGAGAAAACAGGTATTCATTGGCTGTGGAATGTACAGCAAGTGCAGTCTGTGTGTGCCCTTCCCATGCTGGCTCGCTCCTTCCTGCTTACACCAGTCGCTGTGCTGGCGTCAGCGTTCCTGTGGCTCTCAGCAAACCTATTTGGGAAGCTGTCATCACACACAGTGAGGGAGGAGGCACAGGAGTCAGCACGAGTGGCTTTTATAAATGTCTGCTTAAGGTCCGTTCTAGTGCAAATCTGTATTTTCTCAGGGCAAAGCCAGAGCCTAAGGATCTCGCCTTTCCTTTCCTTGCTCCTGTGGGCCAGTTATGGGGCCATTTTTGTACAGGGTTTCACTGTTGCTGCAGTTGTGTCTATGCAATTACTTGTCGTAACATGTTGAAAAATCAGATTACAGAAATATTGAAGATATAAAAAAAACCCACCAAAAAGTCTCTGTAAAAGAATGCTTGTTTAGTGGGTCATTCCCCCTCCACCCCTTCCCCATTTAAAGAGTTATTTTAGCATTCCAGTTGGCAGTGCAGTCCCATTAACAGCTGCAGCATTACTTTGATGTGGCGGTATTACCTGGTATGTGGACTGAGCAATCTGCAGGGGGTGGGGCAGGAACTTCATAAACTAGCTCTGCTTCCAGAAAATTATATTGCCAAATGATGTCTTAGGTGAATTGCTCTAATATTTACTTGTAAGAGGAGCTCACGATGGAATATTTCACTCTGGAAGAAAGATAAAAAGATAGGAAAAAACCCTATAATTGGTGAACCACCTCTGTAGTTCAACAAAGGATGGACAGCTCTTGACAGTGATGTGAACAGTTTCAACAAATCACTGCATGTCACATGCATTATGCTACTTTCCTCCTCAAAAATATTTTCCTACACTGATTTATTTGTGTCCCTTCCAACCAACTGAGCACTGCTTCAATCAGTAGAATGAGACAGATAATCTTTCTGGAGCACATGTGTAGAGCTGAGCATGGGAGCTGGTGTTTGGAATCAATTGATACTGCAGTCTTTTAATTTTTTGTTGTGTAATTTTAACAGCCTGACCTGAGTCCCTCAGAGCAAGATGACAAGACTCCAGGGAGACTCCAGACTGTCTGGCCACCACCAAAAGCAAATCATGAAGAAGTAAAAGTAGGATTAAAGTACACAGAAGCAGGTAAAACAAAGAGGTGAAGCATTTGCAGAAATTAGTTTCTGACATTTTCAATCCTGTTTGATACAGAGATAGTGATAAGTCACAGTATTTTCTTATCTGGAAAAACAGACCCTGTGTTTCGTATGTGTGGTTTTCTGCTACTTGTTAATTCTGCATCTGAATTTTAAACGTGAATAGCTAAATATTGTGCAAAGAAGTGGGTTTTCTTGGTAAATTAGGTTATCCATTTCCAGTGGGATTTTGTTCAAATTAGTGTGAGATTGGTGATAGTAGTTGAGTGACTGCCTTTTCTGATGCCTGAGTGCAGGGGGGGCAGCCCCGTGCTAAACTCTGGTCTGGCTGCAGATTTTCTTCAGGTACTGTCCAGGGTGAAAACAACACCATTATTGCAACATGTGTATGAGCAGAGCAGTGCTCATATCCAGTCAGGCCACTTCTATAGCTAGCCACATATATTGTCCTATGCCAGTGTATGAAAGGGCATGTCCAAAGTACAATGCTAATTATCAGATAAGCTTTTCACAGAAAAAAAATCTTTATTATTAATAAAAGCTTTTTTATTATTTAGATATTATTTAGATATTTACATAACATACTTAAAAGGGAGAAAGTGATTATTTTAGCCACCACAACTCTGGTTCAAATTTATATTCTTGAATGTAAAACAGGAAGTTCAGAAATTAACCATAAACTGAGGAATACTCTGAAATATTAAAGTGAAAGACAATAGGTCATCTCTTCTTCAGGTATCTGGAGATTTTAGAAAATACCACCTAGAAAGTATTAAGTGGAACTAAAAAAAAAAAAAAAGCTTTTATACTACTTTGCTGGGAGAAATTGTTCAGGGGAGTGCTGTGTGGTTCTTTCTAATTCCAGTGGATATCCATCTGACCTTGTATTTGAGAAACAGTACTTCTACATTGTTCTATCTACTGCCTTTTTTTTTGGTTTAGTCTTCTCCATATTTTTTCAGTTTTTTCTGCATTAATCTTTTTTTGTAACATGGGAATAATACTGGAAGTGTAAAAGTTGTTGGAAGATTGAGAAAACTTGGCTAGACAGAAACAACATGGTTCTAATATATAGAATTGAATTTAATATATAATGTTGAATTTATGGTTCATCTGATTGGTCTGAATTTGTGAGTCTATTACTTAGATGACCAGGACAGGTATTCAGCTGTTGGCAAGTGATGTTACTCTTTGATTTTTATTTTAGGTTATATGATTGTTATATTTAATTTTACCCAAACAAATATTTTTCCTTCTAATGACTGTATTCATCTGTGCCAAACATATGCTTAAATAAAGAAAGAAAATTGAATCAACAAAAGCTCCAGATTCTACTACTTGTAGAGAAATTGGGTCATGCTTTCTTGAAATTTGAATAGGAAAGACGGACTGGCTTAGAGCCCATGTAAATTGTTACTCTTGTTACTGTGATATTTTGGGTGGTAGTGTCATCAACATGTTGATGGTTTGTTTGCTAAGTCAAATTTTTCTAGACCAGATTCTGCAGTTCATTAGTTGCTCCAGCGTCTGGCAGAGGGATTTGAATGAAAACAAACCGCTGGTGATTCAGCTGGGGTGAGACATAAGCAGTGCTTTTAAAGGAAATAGGCAAAGACTGTGTTTGCATGCTAAGGCTACGTGAAGACTGCAGTAAAGTTGTAGGTGTGCCGCAGAGATTGGCAGGTTGGTTTCTTTCAGCTGCTCAGGGATGCCCAGAAAGCAGTTGCAAGTTGCACATGATGGATCACCTAGATTGGCTGTTCAGAGGACTTGTGCCCCTGTTGTAAAGCATTATGCACAGAAATGAAATTATAGTCTCCTGCAAGTGAAGCAAGGTGCTGTTCATGAGTCATGCAGTTATAGGAATAGAGTTCCTATTCAATGTTGGTCTTATTGCTGGGGTTTATGGGGTTTTTGATGACTAGGAATGTGGCAATACAGCAAAACTTCTAAATTCACAATCTCTCCGACAGTAGTAGGTACCTTCAAAGTGCATGTGCATACTGGCTTTTCCCCTCATACCCCTTTGCATCTGAAATTCCCTTCCAGCCACCAATACTTTAGAAGTTTCTTGGCTCCCTTTTAAGAAGTGTGCTTCTTAAAAATAAGCTGTAATGCAGGTTAATCATCTGCATTATTTAAATTAACTCTTCTAAACCAAAAACCCCATTTCTTACCTCAGTGTCTTGTCCTGACTACTAAGATCAAATGAAAATTCTTGATCTCAGAATAGAGTTCAAAAATTGTGTGTGGCAGAGATGTTTGTGATTCCAGTCTTCCTTTACAGATATTCCTGTATCCATATAATAAAAAATGCTGAAGTGGTTCATTTTATTAGCTTTAAGTCAATAATTTATGTTAGTGTTTTGATTTATGTGATTAAGGGTTTAATCTACCAAAACAATAGGAATGTCTATAAAAACAATAATAAGAGGATGAATTATTAGGTAAGTATTCATTTAGTACAGCTTTTTTTTAGGCTTAGACAAAATATATGTTCATATCCAAAGATAAATTTGTCAACATTCATCTTTGTACTTCTAACAGGGTACACAAATATATACATATATTATAAGGGAGCATGTTTGTTTTTTACATTTGTCATGATAAAATAGGATTTAAGTAAGACTGAAAACTTGAAATACAGTAATCTTTTTTGCAATTCTACACTGTGTTTTTGATTTACTTACTTCATCACCATGCACTATGACAACTATGACAGGAAGGTAGGGATATTGAGGTGGAGTATTCTTGTCTTTTTGATCTTTTCTCACCTCCTTGTCATGTTTTTCCTCATTGTTTTTGTTGCCTAGTGGAAGCAAGAAATTCAGGCTTAATTTGGCCTACACAGCAGACATCACAATGACTCACAGCAGCTTGGAGGAGTAGCTAACTCTCTCCTGAGGCTCATAGTCTGGCTTGATGTGTGGGAAACGAACTGAAAAGCAAATGGACATAACAAGGAACACGTGTGTGAGGCTGACTAGGTCTGTTAGGAATATTAGAAATGAAAGAAGTTGGGTATACAACTGAGTACTGGGTTTTTTCATGCATTTGATAGCTGCTTGTGGAGTCATAATATTGTCTCCTGCAGTATCCGAATCTTGAGTTGTTAATTTTGAATTGAATGGATAATGTTGCAATATTTTGGTTTAATTTATGTTTTCTTAATTCTTTAATGCATGTGTTTCCATAGAGCAAGTGACTGTGTTGTCAACTGGCTCTCTAATTAGCACATGCAGCTTGCATGATTCTCTAGAGAAACTGGAACTTCTTTGAAGTGTGTCTAAAATAGCTGAAGTCCAGAAAGTCTGTTGTACATTTATGTCCTGGAAGACTAGAAAAAGGGTACTTTAGTTTATAGTTATTCCATGGAAATAATTTCCATGGAATCAAAGACATTTCTATGCATATATTTTTGGTCCTAAATTTTTAATCCTCTGCTTTCATTTTAAGTTTTTTATTATTTTTCCTCCATAATTCTTGGAGACACTTCCCACATTTTTAAACATTAACTCTGACAGAAGGGTAGATATGTCAGCCATTATGTGTGGTGAAAATATCTAGCCAGATAGAGGAGACAAATTCATGTCTATACTGAAGAAATTAATCTGTGATACTACATCACATTAAATCCACATATAATGAATATCTCAACGACTGTATATGACTAGGTCAGCACTTGCAAATACATGTCCCAGAAAAGGAGTTCAGACGTGAGTTCTGCAGCTCCTGAAACCACTTATGTTTGAAGAACACTCTCCACATTAAGGTGGCATAGATGTACATATTCTGTTATTGCTATTAACAGTACCATTTTAGCCTTCAGGATCAAACTAGTTCTCTTATATACAACAGAGGGGGTTTAGTCTTTTGCTTAGCAGAACAGAAATGTAAAAAATAATGAGAGAGAGAAAGTATTTGACATTCCTGCGGGAGAAAATGTTAAAAAAGCCACTTAGAAAATCCATTCATTTTGTGAGGTTTTTTTCATTCAGTGTTTTCTTTTAAATTCAAATTTAAAACATTTAAAAACCTAATTTTCCCACAGTCAGTCTGTTCATCATCTTTAAATCTGCAGTGAGGTAATGCTGTCTCTATGATGCCACAATTTTTAGAACAGTCTGTGAGGACATAAGCACAATTTCAGGGTTAAATTAGAAAATCAGGAGGTGTCTGGTAGGCAAAAAATACCTGTGTAAATGGTGAATGAAATACAAAATAGTGGCAGAGGTTTATTGCTAAGTCTCAAATAAATCAAATCCTTGATCCCCTATACTCTTAGTTCCCAGCAAGAAAATCACTTTATGGCCATTATGTAGGGCCGTATGCCCCAAATGCAAGGAATAACCAGCTTATGTGAGAGAAAGAGAGGCATAATGGTTGGAACAAAAGGATGAGGGATGAGAACATGATTTCTTATCTTTCTTTAACATAAGCTTCCTTTGTGGCCTTGAACAGTTTGTCTTTGTAAGAAAGACAATGTCTGTTGTTAAGTGTCCTGAAGAAAATTGTTTTAACAGTGGCTACCAACAGTTTGTTTCGTCCTAAGTAAAAAAAAAGAAAAAAGAAAATAAATTTTAGTAATTTAGGTTTATTTCATTTTAGTGTGGTGTTTGGGGTTTAGTTCTGGGATTCTGTTACAAATTTTACTGTAGGGAATTAGATCAAGCAGCAGTATAGCAAACAGGATATTTTGCATTGCTTCAAGGTAGTGCTTTTGTGGTTGAATCACCAATCAGTTTGATGTGACCTCAGTGCATAAATTTTTTGTAAATTATTTTACTATATTTTACTGCACTTATCGTGGAGCATGACTGGTGCATGTAATTCAGTGTTTTGTAGTCAGATTCACTAGTGTTTTTTTGAGAAGCTGAGAGTTTTATTACAAGCCAGATTTTGGCAACCTTACTGTATTCCAGAGTAACAATATTTTCCCCTCTTACTTATGATAGCTGAACTATGATTTGATGAATTCAGAAGGTATTGGGCTAAGATTTACTTCGCAAATACTAACAAAAACCATACTCCAAAACAATCAAGCAACAAAAATACCCTTTGCTTTTCCCTCCCTACCTCAGCTGACGGTCATCCATACTGTGCCTCTTGAGACAGGAACAAAAAGATAGGCACCTCTGGATGATTAATATTTGTTGTTAAGATGTTTGTGTTCCATTTTCAGTCCTTTTGCTGCTTTCTGGAATGGCTTCAGGAAAGTTTTGGGAACCTTTCCAAGTTTCAGTTTATCCATCCGTAAAATTAGAATAAGAATTCTGACCTATTTTTCAGGTCAAATTAAATTCTTTTTCCGTTTATAGGCTCTTAGCATTAGATAGAGATGCAGAATAGGAAAGAATATTACTTCTTAAACTTACATTTAAAAAACAAAACCCAGACCAGCTTCATAGTTCCAGAATGGTAACTGTACCTAAGGCTGTGGGATAAAATGTCCCTGCCTTCCCATACACTGAGGATCATATTTTTACATGGTGAGAGGGAAGAAGAGTTATGCTCCAGTTTTTCAATAAAAATCATTGCTTTATTTTTGTTATGCATACTCTCTGTAGACATGTAGTAATTGTAGACCTGTTGCTTTTGAGTCTGGGTGAATGTTTTGCAGCAGGTGCCTAACAAGGACAGGTTTTACAGTATCCAAAGCCATGTCTGGATTCACACATATGTGTAGCCACAAATACCAGCATGCTTAAGATTCACACAGAAATTCTTTAGTCCACTTGAAGTGGATGAAAAGTGGAAAGTTGATTTCTAAGTTTAATATTTTCCTTGTGAGAAGATTAATCTGTTGCCTGAATAAAATAAAGGCAAATTGTGTGAAGTATTTCTTTTACTGTAGTTTTAATTTTGAAATATAGACTGGACTATGCACCTGAGCAATACAATTTTGCAAAGACCCAAAACAGTCGCAGGGTTTTACAAGATGATTCTTGTTATATAATTGAAACACAGTGAAAGAGCCATTGTTTACACAAGAAGAATGACTTTTTATTTCCATGGTTCTTTTTGAAATATATGATGCCCTTTGTGTAGCAGAAATGCCTCTGAGTTTTACTGATTTCCCTTTCCCTTTCTTCAGTCTTTCTGTTCACTTGTTGTGATGCTTTCTGATAGTTTGCACCTGCATTTAGAACTGCTTTTTGGATTTCTTTTTAGATAAATTCAGTATCAGCCCTGCCAAGTTTGCTCCCTCTGCTATGGCACAGACATGTACTCTGTCATAAATCTGTTCCTCGTGTGCTGTTAAAAGAGTTACTTGCTTACCATATTGCATTGGTAAACGCGATCCTGTGATAGGTTGGTTTTGTAAGTATGAAGTAGGACATTTATTGAGAAAGAACTAGTGGTGAATGTCCCCAGCAGCAGTACCTCTAGTGTTGCCTTTCTGGGAGGGTGAAATGACAAGTGAAACTATTCATCTCTGCTATCAAGTAAATGAGCTGTAATGGTAACCCCTCACAGCTGAGGAATGGTCAGGCAGATAAGTTACTCAGGTGACTGCTTTTGAATAGTGCTTTATACTGCTTTGCAATCAGGAAGAGCACTAACTATTTTACTCATTTCCATCACAGACCATCAAGGGGGTGCTTTTTTTCCATAGGAAGCTGGTTTTTTGTGGCTACAGTTATATTATTCTTGGGGAATTCAGTGGCTATTGTTAAGATACTTCATGTCCTGTAGTAGGTTTACTCTGGTGTCCTCTGTGTTACTTAAATATCTGGACAGTATTTGGATACTGGACTATTGGCTTGTTTTGGGCTGTTTATTTTCCACAAGTTCCTCTTCATTTGTCTCCTTTTCTCACATCTGCCATATTTTCACCATATCTGAATATTGAAGGTGCTGAGAATATTTGAAATATTTGGTTTAGAGGGTTCTTCCTTGTCTTAAAAATGAAACCAAAAAAAAAGCCCAAAACCAAAACAAAAATTAAGCTCAAGTGAAGGATGTCTGCTCATTTCCCAGTCTGTGGATTCGGCATCCTTGCATGTAAGGAATTATGGGTCTGTAAAAGGGTTCAAGTACAGTGGGAAGTAAAGAACAGAGGACAGATGGGAGTAGATGGAATGGGGTTGAGGGAAGGATGATTTGAATCATGTTTTCAAATAACAGGCAGTATTATTTTATCCAATCCTCTATCCCTAGAAAATAGGTAATTTTGTGAATTTCTTTGAGCATAAATAAATTTTAATTTCCTAGTTATAAAAGGATGCTTAAATGCAGTTATGTTTTATAAAAACCAGGCCAAGACTGAACAAATTAGATTTTGAAAGTTGCTCATGTGTATTTTCATTGAAAGAAAAGCCTGAAAATTTGCTGTTGTTTTATGACTGTAGCCTGGGAGGTCACATCAATACATGTGTAAAAATAAATAAAAAGTAATACAAAAGGTATAGCTTTGGTGAGTAGGTTCCCTTCTGACACCCGCTGGTTAGAGATGAGAATTACATGGGGAAATAGAGGAGGAAACAAATGCTGTAGTAAAGGGGAATATTGAACATGGGACCAAGGGTTACCACAAAGGGAGAAAACATTAAGAAACCCTTACTATTCTGAAATTTAATGAATCAGTACAATTATAAGTTAACGATTTTCTTTATACTACAGGGTGTGGTACATCTCAAGAAAGGTAGATTAGGTTGCACTCAAGTTTTCTAGCTTTTATTCTCTAATTACCTTTAAATTGTGGTAACATTATTTTGCATGTTTCCACACACAAAGTTTAATATGTATGGCTTTTTACAAAAATGAGTGTACTGACCAGAAGTGGCTATATAGGCCATTTAACTTCAAAGCTTCTGCTTTCTACATGAAGTTTTGAGATTATGGCAGAAAAGTTTCCTAAATTGCTGTGTAAAGTTTGAGTAACCCATCTACTTGAAAAGTGAGTTATGGAGATTTCCATGGGAAAGCTTTTCATGTAAGATTTCATTTAAAGTTATTTAAGTAGGTAAGTTGTTTTATTACCAAAGAAGAAAAGGCGATTCTTGCATAGCACAATTGTGAGCACAATGGAATAATACTGAATAATATTTGAATGTGTGTATTTGCTTTGTGCAACAGCTTTAACAAATTAAAATTTCTCTTGGAAACATTGTGACCCACCCTATCCAGTATTTCTGGCATTGTAGGTTGAATTTTCAGGTCACCAGACTGATCAGTGAATGCTTGTATCTTTTCTTTTAGAAATGTTGTTGAAGAGTTCAGCATGCTCAGTATTACAAGATTTTTCATGAACATCTATTGAGTATATTTGTAAACGTTGTTGCTTTGTGTTCAGAAAAGTTCAGTGTGATGATAAAACTGAACATACATTAGACATTAGGAAAAGCACACATGCTTTAGTGTATTTTCTTTGCAAAACAGTGAAGCATGCCTCATACTTTACTAATAATGAGGAATATTTTTTTGTTTTGTGTTTTATTTCTGCCACCTAGTGGCATTTTATCTGTCTCATATGTCAGCAATATCATATTTGATATTGTATCAAAAGAAAGTCTAAAACTTTCTTTTTAAAATGCGTGTTTTGGAAATGAAATGCAAAATGATGAATTGTTTAAAGTGTTCCCAACCCGAACTTCTGTCTTCTAATCAGATTGTATGGAATTAATCTCTCAGAAAAGTCTAAGCTTTCTGATCTGTTTTGGTCTCCTTCCCTTACCATACAACATGAAAATACAATCATGAGTGAGCATAATTGTTATTTCTGATTGTAAGTCTTGAGGAATCGATAAAATCAGCATATGATAATCTGTGTATATAACAAGCTGAGAGCATTATAGAAATATTTCTATGCGTATTTGGCTTGTGTGGCCTGTTTTTGGTAGTGGAGGGTACTACAGAGATGGCTTGGTTTTCATACTGTTGCTGCATGTGGCCTATGGTTAACCAAGAAGCATCCATGGGATATTTTTACATGCTAGAAATTTATTGAAGTACTTGCTATTTGATTTTGGTTTTATTTGATAGGTAGTGCTAGTGTTTAGCAACACTTCAGAAGTTCGGCAGTTCACAAGCAGTTCATAATTTTTTGCAAGACAAAATAATATAAGGGGGAGCTGAAAATACTGACTCAGTTATATATTTTTAGGAATGAATGAAAAGCAGGGGGTGTGCAAGACTCCCTGCTAGAATACATAGCTAATGAGTGTAAAATACAAATTCTCTGAGTGAAGCTTAAATACAATCTTACTTATGCTTTTGTCTCTAGCTTACCTAAAGCTTTACAAGGAGGGACCACCAGGTGGGTGGAACAGTGTAATGTTGTCTGTCTGTGTCTAGTATTTTGTCTCTTCTGTTACCATAAGGGTAGCATTCAACTTTCCCTGATGGAATAGAAGCAGTAGAGGCTGAATCTGCTATATCTACCACTGTTAAGAACTAAAAGCTTGTTAAGACTACAGAAGTTCTCTATTAGATCAGGAACAGTTTTCAGAATTCTAGCTTGTGGTACTTCAGTTTCATTGCTTGCCATCACACTAAAATGAGTGGAATTTATTTAATTTCTTCTTAATCTCACATTAGACATGTTATAATTTGGCAGTGGATGTTTTTCTAAAGTCTTTGGAACAAAGACAATAGTGAAAATTAACATGATCATAGATCTTAACATTGGAGTTATGGAAAACTCTTCGGACACACACTGATCCTTATTCAGAGCAAGAGCACATGTAAGGCTGACAAAGATATACAGTAAAATCCCATTGACAATCATGTGAGGGTTAATAAAATACTAACTGAAAATGTCATTAGTAATCATAGAATCACAGAATATTAAGGGCTTGGAATGGACCTCAAAGATCATCTAGTACCAACACCCCCGCCATGGGATGTTGTCTCTTTTCTTGCTCAGTTTTATACCCACCAAGAGCAGGACACGCAGAGCATTGGCCATTTTTGGATTTTAAGTGACGCTTAAGAAAGACATTTTGAACAAATGCTTGTGACTCAGAAGCTCCTTTTAAGCAGCTCTTTTGAATTACCAAATTATGGAATCATAAAATAGTTTGGATTTGAAGGGACCTTAAAGGTCATCTACTTCCAGCTCCCCTGTCAGGGCCAGGAACATGTCTCATTCAGCCTGGCCTTGAATGCTGCCAGGGATGGATGGGCAGTTGTTGTCAAAATGTGTAATAACTAAATTAAACTGAGTTGCAACTCATTTTAAAAGAAGAGTTTCCAATAGTATTCCTCTCTTTTTTTTTATGATAACTTACCACTTCTGCAATTGTTTGCAGAAGAAACTGACAATACTGAATAAGGCATATTTCAAAGTATTTATATTTTTCTGTGTATGTTGATTCATTAGGTAATTTCCTGTTGTCGTGCTTTTCATATAATTACAAAATAGCAATCTGCTGACTTAAAACTTTGTAAGGATTAAGATTTGTTTGTTTGTTTTTTTTTTTTTTGCTTGATCCTTTTTTGTAATTGAGTTAGGAATACTAGATGTTGGTGAGGATTCAGTGTGATTATTTTATAAGATTTAAAAACAAACCTTATGACCAGGATAAACTCTTCTTACATTATGTCAGTGAAGAACTACTCCTTTATTCTACCACAAAACACCATTTAGATGATGATGTGAGTAGACATCATATTAGAAGAAATAAATCCAAAGTACTTTGAAGCCCTCCTGATCCCTTTGAAGTTCCATAATGACAGTCCAATCTGTTTGTCACAGCTGCATATCCTTCCTATGAAGGATACTTCATAGGAAATAAGACGGTGTTAAGACAATTTTGCATTAATTAAAGCGGCTTGTATTGGAACTTGTTAGAATTTCCCTGCACATGGCATCAGTGATCTTAGGTTAGGAAAATTATGTTGTCTGTGTAGATTGCCATGAAGTGGACTTCTGGGCAGTCTGTCTGAGACACCTTTCTCCCTCGCAATTCAATTGCAAGCATTTCCTATTTCCCTCATGTTCTAGTTTCACCCAGGACCCTAATGTTATTTGATACCACCTTACATCATTGTTAGGGGTGGGGAGAAAGGGACTCTGGCTTCGGGTTAAAAAACATGACAGGAGAGGGGAAGCTACGCTCCATTTTTCATTGTCTCAGGTCCAGGGCAAACATTTTTGCATGTGAATCACCCTCTGTCTTGTATACTTTTGTTATTAATATTGTTGCCATTACTGTTCATTTTCTTATCTCATTGCTGTTTCCAGTAAACTGTTCATACTTCAGCCTGTGATCTTAATTTTTGACCTCTCCAATTCTCAACTCCATCCTGCTTCAGCAGGAAGTGAGAGGGAAAGGAGGAAGAAGAGAGCAGTCTGTCATTTGGGGGAGTCTTGGTGAGGGGCACCAAAATAAGAAGTACCATTCCTAAATCTCACTCAAAGCGGGCTCTTTCTTACAGGACTCTGGTGGTGGTGCAGAGTTTTGTAGAAACTGTTAGGTACTTACAATTAGAGGCCACTTGTGTTATTTTCTGCCTGCTGGGAAACCAGACAAGTGGGTAAATTGTATTTGCCTGTCCCATAAAAATCTCATGTTTTTCCTTTCATCCTAATGAAACAAATCAGTAAACAACATCTTAGTCTTGTTTGTAGAACAGAAGAAGAAAATCCTACCACTCATCCCATCCTATGTAACTTCTTGAACACAGTTAACAGTGCTGATCATACAGATACATAGTTCACATTTTGAAGATCATCTGAATTTGTAACTAAAAGGACTAGAGGTGTACTTATTTGGGAATTCATCGTGTTTTAAAGAAATCAGATGAAACTAAACCGTCCATTGAGTATCCTTAGCATTTCAGTATTGTAACTCAGCTTTCCCTGTAGAAGCCATAGTCCCAAATGGGCTCACAGAAATTACGAGTATGTTGACTGGAGACCATATTTATCCTAAAAGGTCAGGAAAAATAATAAAGCTGAGCAGTTGGGGCAGTAAATACTGGATGGACTTGTTCATATTCAGATACCAAAAGCCTGTGAATAATAGAATATTCTGCTGGTTTAGATACTTGGTTTTTATGGTTGTTAATGACAGATTCAAGCAGTCCTGTGTTATACATTTTATTTGCAAGATTAGCTTTCAGGGCCAAAATTTTAGAAAAGGCACTGCTTTAAGAATCAGCCCAATATATTAAATATCTCTTCTTTTGTTTCAAGTTGTTTTGTATTTAAATTTAAAACTCATAAAGTACAATAACTATTGAAAAGATTATGTGTTTTTTATAATATAATCAGGATAAGCAGCTTTTCTGTATTGCATTGCTATTTTTCCCTATACGTAAGTTTTGGTATCTGTCAACTTCCTGGGTTCCCGGTATTTTAATTTAAAAATCATTATACAAGAGTGCCTTTCTGGTGTCATACCTATATACCCCTAATGTTCTCTGTATTTGTACAGTTTTTGCTCTAGCAGATGTTGATGTCTAAAAGGGTATAGGCATTTGTCCACTGTTTCACAATGCATGATACTCTGTTTCACACAGTAGATGTCTGTGATTCTGTAACAAATTCCATGTCTGATGCTGTACAGCACTTTAAGCTCTTTGTTCACATCGTGTCCATCTTCCTTATTCAACCATTTTGAACTGTTTGGGGTTGCTGCTTCAGTTCTTCCATTGTGCTTCAACAAAAATTCTTGTATCTGTTCGCATAACTATGTTTGAAATTACAGGACACAGAGTTACTTCCTCCTTGCACTTGGTGGTTAGTTAAAAAACAAATTCATTACCTTCTTGCAGCCCATTACTTGGTAGATGTTAATTCCAAGCTTTAACCGGACTATTTCAAATGTTATAGTACCTAATGATAAAGAAAAGAATATATTTTCCTGATGGACTGATAGAATTTTGGTCAATGTTATCTTTATATGATCCATATTGATAAGATACTTTAAAATCTTGAAGCAGACTGATAGCAACATGACAGGGAAGGCAGGTTATCCTGTTTGCACTGGTTCTGTCTTTGCAACGTTCAGTGCTAAAGTAATTTTTTTAAAATTAGATAAAATACTAATTAGAATTACTTCTTCCTGCAGTTGCACGTAGGCAGAACCAAATATAGCATGACTGGAAGTTATGATACTTTATAATATTGACTGTGTCAACGGCTGGCAGAACAGGATCATGACAGTTTTATAGTTCATCACTTCAAAAACTGTGTTTTATTTTTTCCCAAGCACCTTTTTTAAGAATATACAGTTGAACAAGGAAATGTGAAATATATATGTTACTATCAAAAAACATTTAGCAAGCTAAATTTTCATTAGGAAAAAAGTGAGGCAAAAAACTGTATTAAAATAAAAGATTATGTTGAAAACTAATAAGATAACAAGTTATACCTAGCATAAAACAATATCATTGAACTGGAAAAGTAAGACTTGAGAATTTGCAGCTGATCTAAAGTTAGTAGAAGTAGGGAAGACCTGAATGCAAATTTAGCATTCTCTCATCAGAATGTTATCTACTGGCTATGGAAAACATGAGAATAAATGGAAATATAAGTTTCATAGTAAGTTGATTTTTTTTTTTACAATGAATAATTGATTTATTTTTCCAACAACATAGAAAAAGGAAATTTTTGCACTTTCATGTCATTGTATATCTTTAGTTTTCACTGAAGTCTCTATACAGATTCCTGTGTACTTTGCCAACTTTCAGATTACTTTCAAAAAATGTTTTAGTAAAACATTTTACAATGATATGGTATTATGTTGCTAGCTATCAGCAAATGTAACAAATATTTGTTTATTTATTATAAGGCTTCTTAATGTATTTCTGCTTTATCTCACTATCTCACTATCTTAGAAAAAATGTATAAAAGTTTGCTTTAGCTTCAGTGGGTTATAATCATTGATTTCAGGTAGCATCAGGTTGCAAAAGTAAAGAATATGTCCAAGTGGGCAACAGCTTACACGATCTATTACATTTTTCTTGGGATGGTATGCTTTCAAAACAAAGGAAAAAGTAGTAAATTAGAAGGAGCAAATGAAAACTGAGACTCCAAGCTGTTTGGAGTGCAATCTGTGCAATGTGATTGTTTACTTTTTTGCTCCTGTAAAGGAGTGACTTTTAAAATTATTTTTTCAGTAACAAAATCCTAATTCACATGTGGTAATTTTTTGGGATAGGCACATTTAGCACTTGCAATCTGATTTTTATCTGATTTGTCTCAGAAGTCCATAAGAGTAATATCTACTTAAGGAGAAGCCAAATTTATGCCCTACAGCCACTGTCTTCTTGCAGGCAGATTGGAGACTAGGCAAGTACAACAGGGTATTTGTACAATCAGCCTTCCGTTACGTGTCGTAATAAAAGAATTTAAAGCTTCAGCAAATTGACATTGCGGTGTTTGAGCGTGTCCAGGGCAGCAAAGCTGATGAAGGATCTGAAATGTAAGTCCTATGAGAAGCAGCCAGTGGAATTGGGGTTGTTTAGTCTGGGGAAAAGAAAGCTCTGGGGAGATGTTATTGCTCATTACCTGAAAGAAGCTAGTGGCAAGGGGTTAGTTTCTTCTCCTAGTCAACTAGTGATAAGGTAAGGTGAAATGTCCTCAAGCTGCATCAGGGGAGGTTGAGTTTGGGTATTAGGAAAGAGTGATTAAGCACTGAAACAGGCCACCATCCCTGGATGTATTCAAAAAATAAGAATATGTGGCACTTCTTTATATGGTTTAGTGGTCATGAAAATACTTGCTCAGAGGTTGGACTTGATTTTGGAGGTCTCTTCCAACCTTAATTATTCTTTGATTTTATGAAAATGTGACTCCCCTGACCTTGCACAAATTAAGTAGAGTCACCTTGTGATACAAGGATCAGCTTGGACTTACATTGTAAGGTATAAAAATGAGAGAGCCAGGTAGTGCATAGTATCAGGATCAGTGTGAGCACACATTGAAACACAGAAAGGTCTGGCTAACCACCAGGAAATGACTGTGGGGGTGACTGAGAAGCTAGCACAGCTTGCCCAGAGAGGATGAGAAGGATGAAGATTTGTGGAAGAATTCGAAAGCTGTTTGGACACAGTCCTGTGCAACCAGCTCTGGGAGAGGTGGGGCTGCAGACCAGAATGACCCTTCCAGCCTCAGACATTCTGTGGTTTGTGATTAGAAGCTTTTCTTCCTGTCACAGCTGCAGCCTTGTACCTGGGCTGGCTCTGAGACCTGCCCTCAGGTGCTCATGTGACTTCACTGACAAGGCTGAAGGCGTTATGGTGGTTATGTGAGAATCAGGCTGGCTACAGAGCCATATCGGATTTCTTCAACTCTGGCATGGTTAATTTTTAACCTAGACAAATCACTCAGTGATACATTGGTATTTCTGGATTTTATGTGTAGGCTACGTTAATTATTTTTAGAGTTAAATGGAATTTAGGAATTAAGTAGTTTATAAAACCTGACATATTTTGTTTTCTGTATAGTTCCTTCTGTTAAAATGTCATTATTGTTTATTTTGCTGTTTTGTTTTTTTACCACTCTGAGTAGTGTCCCAACATCACTACATAATTAAACTTTATTATTCTGTTGCCAGTATGTTAAGGAACTGATTTTTGGAATTACACAAATGAAATTATTTTTTTCTAGCCAACTTCTTCAGCATTTTAATGATTCTGATTGCCATCTCGGGCATATACAGGTTATTTTCTTAAACTGGTAACTATCTGTGTACAATTGTATTAAATTAAGGTGACGTTACAAAACACAGAAAAGGAATGGACATGAGTTACTTTATATTATGCAAGACAATATAATTGTGATGTGATTTTCATTATAATATCTTGTACAGAAAAATAAACATTTGCTTGAGAACTGAAGAACTTTGCTGGGTGTCAGCTTTTATTCAATAGATAGTTTCTTCTAGTTAAAAATAATGAAATTAGACACTTATGCTGTTGAATGTCAGTTTATATTATAGTAGACAATCTGTTCAATCTGTTACAGTATATCAGTTTATGATACAGTAGCAGTGTTTTAAGAAATTAGTTTTTATTATTAATTCTTAAAGCTTAGTACTTTCTAAGCATATTTTTAAGGAATAAGTAAATGGTAAAAGAATTGCTACTCTCTGTCTTCCGCTTTAGAACAAAGCTTAAACAAAACAATCTCTAGAACTTGTTTCAGAGCTTTCAGCTAGAAGCAATGAAAAACATGTGCCAACAATGACATATTCTTAATTGTTAATTTTTTTTTTTTAATTCTTTTGCTGTGTTAGATTTCATTCATAGGAGTTCCTCCATCATTGTCTAATTGCACAAGCATTTGTGCCAAGATAAAAAAATAAGCAACAGAGGGTTGGGAATGGGTAGACATGGTGAAAAGTCTGCTTCTGGTGCAGGTCTATGTCATCATAGATGAATTATGAGTCTCTTACCCAAATCTCAAAGAATTTTAATCATTGGGCAATCCTGCATAGAAAGTAGATCTTTTGTTAAGACAGATCTGTATCCTTCTATTAGCCAAACTAAGAACTGATTGTTAGGAGCATTTTCAAAGCCTGTTATTTGCTTCAGTTACCATGTGACCTTAAAGAGCTAACCTTCAAGTTAGGACATTCATACGGTTCATGCCCTGCAAACTGAGTGCTTAAGGCAGCTGAGGTGCCAGAAGGGTCACAACTTTTTCTGGGGACCTGAGGCAACTGTTTTAAATCCTTTTTAGGTGAATGCATATGCAGAGCCTGTATCCAGAGGGAATATCAACCAGTCAAAGGAATTAAAAGCAGAAAATATAAAAGTTTGTAGAGCTAACTAGTTGTGATTCCAGCAGAGCAGTCAGGCAATTTTCTTATGCCTGAAAGCTCTAAGTAGAGACATGTTAGAGAGCAAGGAGAAGTTTAGATAGATACTATAGCTAGCTGGAATCACCAAGGTTTTTATTTTATGCAGTGTAAAATATTGCTCCCTTTTCCTTTTGATTTTATGTATCAATTCAGCTGCTTGATTATAACTTCACCTGTGTTTGGAAAAAATAGCTTTGCATTAAAAGCTTCCATGTCATGTAGAATTCAGGGTGATGATCAAGTTACCTTTTCTTTCCTCTTTCCTTCATGTGCTCTGAAGAGAAAAAGGAAAAAAAAATAAAGAGCAGCTAAGCGCACTGGAATATTTTATTGATCTGGTACTTTGGTCCATACTTTGATACTTTAATGCTATTTTGTTAGTTCTTCTGTTGAATGGATCCTGCACACTCCTTAGTCTTAGAGACCATTGACAGTAAAATTTAAATTCTTTGGGCTATTTTCAAACCTTTTTAAATTAGGATTTAGTTGAGGAGGCAGAAGCCAAGCCAGGAAACTGGAAACACACTTTTGGATAAATTTTGATTTGAAAGCAAATGGAAGTGAGACTTTGATCATTTAACAACAAACTCCAGTTGCTTGCTTAGGAGGGCTGTAGCTTCTGGGACAGTGTCTTACAAAAGACTCTCTTAAGGTCTCTTAAAGCCTTACACCAGTGTTTTGAAGGGGTTTCTGCTTCTTCATCTGGCCAAATGCAGTCATGGTATAGATTAAGGGGAGCAATAGTCTTAGTGGTCCTAGAGGTATATTTGGTAAATCTATGCCATCACTAAACCTGCGTGGTCAATGCCTGGCCTCGTCATTTTTTCACTGCTGAAATTTCTCTGGCTTTCAGTTTCATGCTTTCAGCCTTTGGATTTTTCTATATTCTTGCTAAATGGCAGAGCTATCCTATATCTCATTCACAGTATTCTGTATTTAAATTCTGTAATTATTCTTTGTATGATAGAATTAAAAGAAAGAATTCTTTGTATCTCACTATTTGGTACTTTCTGAGATCTTCATTTGTATTTGTGATTGCTATTTTATCCAGTTTGACTGTATATAGTGATTGTATGTTTGTCCATTTAAATCACTGTATTTGATGCATGTTGTTTTAGAATTCAGGTGAGGATGTGTGTACGCATGCATGTGCATGCCATAATGTCCTATCAGTTCCACATTTAGCTGCGAAATTAAGCAAAACTGTAGTTTCCTTTTGTTATTTCAGTCTGTCAGTATTCTATGCTGAAGATAGCACATTGTTTTCTGACTCTAAGGGAATGTACTTTTTTATTTCTACAGAGTACCAAGCTGCCATTCTGCATTTAAAGAGGGAACACAAAGAAGAAATTGAAACATTAAAGGTATAGTTTTGTAATTATTTATTTCCCTATCTAGTGCATTTTACAGATTTAAGTGGTACAAGCATGCACTTTCTATCAAATGTTAAGAATATAGTTTTTTCTTTCTAGAACTTGTTTTCAGTTGACTGTCAGCTCAGCTAAAATTAATTTGGTTAAAATTTATACCTGCACTCATAAATGGTGTCCAAAAGCAGTTTTATTTGTTTCCTCTTTGTAGTTCTCCTTATTGTTGTTCTGTTAAATTCTTCCCACTAACACAGCAGTGCAGTATTTTTGCATTGGTACTGGTGTTTAACTATTTACTCTTTCTTAGTGAAGCATACTTCTGTAGAAGCAGTTTTCTGTAATTTTAACTGGAAAATAAGCATGTGTGAGACTTACTGAAGTTTAGTATTGAGCACTCTCTATTAATGTCTCCTCTTTTAAAGTGTAAACTTGACCAAGTAGTTATCAAAATCAGAAATAACACAGTTTAGTATTAGAACTCACTTTTCCTTGGCTGTGGTAAGTAAAGTAGGATATTACAAGTAAGTGTTTTTATCATAAAAGCCGAAACTTAAATGGCAGTATAACTGAATTTGGTGATCACCTCTGGTTAAAATTAACAGCATGTTCCTTTTCTCACCAGTTATGATATATTCTTAAGTATAGCTGCTCTGTGTTCTAATACAGGTTCATATGCTAAATCGTTAGTATGCAGGTCATCAATTAGAAAACATTCAGAATTTCCATTGTCATCATTAAAGTAAATAGAATGGAAAATAAACAGATATACTAACTCAGGAACTTTGATAATGTAATACATTGATAACTGTGTCATTAGGCAGATCACATTGTGATAAATTAATATTTAAAAAATACTGAATAATACGGTTTAAAGATATAGAACGATTTCTGTTTTGTACTGTTAAGTGCTTTGCTTTCCCTCTCTTGCCACTAGATGTCAGCTGAGTCTTTCAGAAAAAGTTCCCAAAAACGTGTGCACGTTTCATACTTCCTTCTAAACTGAGTGTGGTGACATCCTGCCCACTGTTTGTGTATCTGTTTTAGTTTTAGGTCAGAAATTATCTTGCACATTATGAAACTAAAATTGAAGTTGCTCAATTGATAAGTCATAGCTGTCAACACCTTCATAGTCTTTGTCAAGCAGAACCAAATCTTGAGAATCTAATAATCAACTAAGTAGATGACAACAACATAAATCAAAATAATGTAAATGGACTCCTGACTTCTGAAAGAAAGGAATTTACTTGCAGGCAATATTCTGTCTGCAGTGCTTAATATTTAACCCAACACATAGCTGCACAAGGGTGCGCCGTACTTTTTTTCCCGTAAGTTAAATTGATAAAATTAGTAAAAATTTAAGTTTCTCCCTAATGTCTCCTTGCTCCCTTTAGAACAAAGCTACCAAATATCCCCTCATCTTTAGTTACGTGGTAGTTCAAGGCTGCTTGTTGAACACGGATGGAAAGTCCTTAGCTGTCCTGTAACCCTGTACCTTATGCATGGGTGTTTTTCTCCAACACAGGTTGTTAGGCTTCACCAGCTCGCTAGATCTTTTATATATTTCCAAACTGAGAATATTAGTATCTTCAGGTATTTATATTACATAATAGTATTACATAATTCATGTCATATAATATAGTATAAGAAATATTAATAGATATTTGATTAAAAAATTAACTATAGCTAGCTTATAAATTATTCAGTAAATATCATATAATAAAATTATGTTTTTACATCTCCTAAAATATCTCATGGCAAATTTTAGAAAGAAATACCTGTATAGTTGCATCTATCAATGTTATGAACATATTACTGAAAGTTAAGATATAGTGAATGGTAGTGCAGCTGCCTGTGACATTAGGAAAGAGCAAGCTGGCCTCATTTAGGGAAGAATGTATCATGAGGTGTTCATAGTGACCTTTCTGGCCTCCATGGTAATGTTTGTGCTTTTGCTTTTTTTTGTGAAGGTTCCAAGAGCTGAAATGTAGAAGTGGGTAGAAAGTAATTTCCTTTTCACAGAAGAACTTCCTTAACTTTGAAAAACTATTTCATATCATAAATTGAGGTTAAAGACCAGTGCCTCCAAGTGCCCCAGAAAACACTGAAAAATGTGGAAGCAAAAGGAACGTGAAAGGAAAAGTCATAGCACCACTCAAAATTATCTGATAACTTAAAAATAATGTATTTTTATTTTGTAGTCAGACCACAAAGTCATAAAAACATTTAAGGTTTTATTAAGTAATAAAGCTCTAGCTCTATTATGACCATTTCATTCTTTTGAAAATCTGTTTTTTCATGCCTGATACTTCCTAAATCCTTTCTTATTTCTTTGTCTTTTCACCCTCCTATTTGTTTTCCCTTCATTTCATTTTTGAATGCTTCCATTGCTCTTAAATTATAACATGAGTATGACAAAAGGTGCTGCTTCTGTCTGCAACATTTTGGAATTTTTGATTCAGCTATGGGAAGCAACAGTGAATAGTGTTGAAATCTCTTGTATGCCAGAATGCTTATCAAAATACCTCTTTATAGAAGTGGGTGATTTCAGGTTTATTTTGACAATTTAAAATGTCTTTTACTTAGATGTAAAATTTAATTTCAGCTTCAGAGCGTACATCACAAATTGGATGTTTTAACACCAAATCAAAACATTTTACACTATTTTAATTTGCCTAAATCTTCTTTTTCTATGGGTAGACTATTACAACAAACTGGAATACTTTTGAGCAGAATAAATTGAAAGAGATCTGGATGCTTTTAAGGATTTTTATTATTCCTTCTAGAAAATAAGATTTTTTTTTTCTCCTCAGTTTTGTTTGTGCATATGTGAATTCTTGCATGGGATAGGGATACCATGATTTTTTCTAAAGTCACTATGTTTTGAAATCTGCTTTTAGGATATGGGGTCCAATGATGAATAGTGTTGGAAGCTTTAATATGCAGCAGTACTTTTAAAACCCCAGATTTCTTAATATATGTGGATATATGCTGACTTTTGGTAATAAGATTTTGCTTCAGGATGCTGAGATTGTAACTTTTACAAGATGAAATGCATCCATAAGGTGGCTGGCTGCTTTGAGTGTTCTTGGTTGTATTTTTGCATTCCGGCATACACATACAGAAGAAAATCGGTATCGTGTATGCTCCTCTCTCTGGTGGTGTATGCTTCTCTCTCTTGGCAGCTCAAAGGAGCAGCCAAGGTCAGCAAGGGTTTATTAGTCAGTCTTTCCTAATGAGCTGTTCAGGCTTTTCAGCATTTCCATGTGGTGAACTGATGAAGGTCTCTCAGCTTGTGGTTAATTATTGATACTAATCTTGCCTAACTTGAAATGTTTCAGTCTTTCAGCTGCTAAATGTATGGTTACACCACTGTGTGTGTACTGTGTGCCTTCATGAATCTTCTTAGCTACTTTGCCCTCTTGGAGGAATTCTCCCTGTTCACTGCAGAGCCTCTGCGGTGCAAGAAAGCAAAACACATAAAGACTGAAAAAAGCATAAAAGTTATGGGGAAAAAAGAGACTATGCTCCTATGAAATTGTATTAAAGTACCAATTTCAGAGCTCCTAAAGCTACCAGACAGTGGCAGCAACATTATCTTTAAAGTTTGCATTTCCTAAAATAGTAAAATCCCAGCAGGAAAAAAAAATCTTCCTGTACTGAAAAATTTGCATAGCCAGCACTAGAGAAGGTGAAGGAGCGAACTAGGGAACAAAGGACAGGAGCAATAAGACAGTAACTTTCTTAAAAACAGCACGTAATCTCTTTGGAACCACTTGACAATTTCATCTTCATTCAGAAATGAAGCTTGGAATGATTCTTCATGTTGTGTGAGGATACTTCCCGGTTAGTTAATATTTTTAAAATTTGCACGTTACAATTTCTGTATTAAAATCATACTCCATAATAAAATTCTTGATGGCATTTTAAGCATCCCTGCTGTGCTCTGATACATAAGTACAGTAAACCAAATTTTCTCATTCTTCTTCTCCATTGACTTCCTATTTGTCATATTTTTGATGCAATCTATGCTTTTCATTCTTATTTTCCTTTAACAATATGTTTACATTGTTAATAATTTCTTATCAGATAGTTTGCATATACTGGAAGATTCTTATTTCATTGTGTTGTGGGTTTCTTTCAGTATGGCCACTTGCCATATTGCCATTCTGTTATTTTCAGTGCAATTTCACTATGAGACTTGGATTGTTTAAACTTCATGTCAGCTGCAGAATGCTGTTAATTCCACATGTTGATCCAAGGATTCTCCTGTTTATTTAAGAAGTTACCACAGACCATATTCCCTATATTGAAAACAGTGAAAATCTCTTTAACTCTATTTCAGCACATGGGCATGGTAGTACATAGTTAAAATGTACATAGAACAGGACAATTTAGCATTCAAACTTCAGCAAGATGGAGTTCCTGGCTCAAATTTAGACACATTACAAAAAACTCTGCTTAGTTAGGGCTAAAACAAAAGTCTTAATGTTCCTTATAACTTGCTGCATTTTTCATAGTTTATGCAAGTTAATTTATCCCATCGCCTTGCCTTGAATAAACATGTTATGTACTCAGGAAAATAAAGTAGAGTACACACTTTGAACAAAAGGGCATGTTATTTTCACAGATACTGAAGATCTCTATAACATAGGAAACAGTTGTATATAAGAGAAATTAATTGGAGTGCCATCATGGAATTATAAAAGCCATTAAAAATTAAGTATTAGCAAAGTTACCATTTTGATTTTGTAAACACGTACCCCATGCTTTCTTGACAAAATTATCTGTACTTTGAAATTTACTACACCAGATATTTGTTTAAATCTAGTAGTTGTAAGGCATTTTTTCTAAATTAAATTCTGTTGTTGAAAAATTCTGACTCTAATATTCCTGATTTTAACAGGAGCAGGGACAAATTTATCAAGGATGAGCATTTTGCCAATAAGGGAAAATCTGTCTGAAATTGGAGGTTAACATTTTTTTAAATAAAACTG